TTTTAGTTCTACCTTCATGGTCAACAGGTTCTTGATCTCCTCCATTATTAAGTAATCAACCTATTGTGGAACCAAATGAATCTTCTTAAAAGGGCTACCCTACATGTAAAATAATTCTTAATAATGCAATGCACATTCCACCTTTCCTCCTTCCTACATATACATCGGGGTGAGAGGTGGTTTCTTATTTTCATAATTACTAATTACTTTTTTCAATTTAAGATGGGCCCAAAGGAAACATTAACTTTCTTATACCAGTGAGTGGAAATACAGCTGCTGAAGTTAATTATTGGTTCAACAGTCCTTTGTGGGGTTACACTACTAGTGTGGCTTTAGACTCTCAACAACATTCCTTGAATTTCAGAATTAACATAGATAGGAAACCAGGGAAACCAAATTATCTCCACCACATAGAAATTTTGAGAACTGTTTCTTGTTCTATAAATGAGTAATAATAACACTTAATGCTTGTATGAAATATGTACTAAGTATCTATTTAGCTTTATGAAATGTATGGTACATATGGAGAGTTCAATAGTATTGGCAAATTTAAATTATGATTATAGTTGGGAGGAACTGTTATATACTCCAGGCATTTAGACAATTTCTTTTAGGTAAAGATAGACTTTAGTATGGTTATCAGTAAGAGAAATGTTCTGATTTACTTTTAAACTTTTATGAATTTTAATCAGGCATACAAACCCCAATGTCAGTATAAATAGTGCTTAATCTTTTAAGAGTTTAATCTGTACAAATGAACAATTATGAAATGCAGTCAGGACCCAGTCTACACTAGTGTAACTAACTTCCTTTTCTCAACAGTGTGTTAACTTCTTCATCATTTGATAATGACAAAATCAACAGAATTACATTGTGCCTCAGGGGGATGAATGTTCTCTGTCATAAAATGATGATGAGACCTCTAAAGCAGTGGTTTCTCAGCCTTCCATTAATACGGCTCTTCATGTGGTGGTGACTCCTCCAGCCATAAAACTATTTTCACTGTTCCTTCATCACTGTCATTTTGCTACTGTTATGAATCGGGAGACCCCTGTGAAAGAGTCACTCGACCCCCAAAAGGGATCTCAATCCACAGGTTGAGAACCACAGCCCTAAAGTGAACCAAAGACGTATGTAAACCATACATATGTGAATGGATTTGGGGCTTGCAAAGAATTTTAGCCCCAATCTAAGAACAATTAGTTTTCAGATAAGGCCCTGCCTTGAAGTTCACCTTCATGAAGAGATCACTGAAGATATAGGTGTCAAAGAGAGTAAAGGGTAGTCAAGAAAGTACATGGTGCCAGCTATAAAAAAGAAGAGTGTCTAGGGTCTTGTCTTTAAACAAGCAGTCATCTAAGTGAGGCATCCACTAGATCAACATGGAAGAAGCCCACGAATCTGTGTGCAGCAAGGATGATAAACAATCAAATCCACATCCAACGGCAGGAACGGCATCAGAGTTTAAGTAGGGAACACTCAAACTGCGGAGGGCTATGGATGGCAGAGGGATGCCAGGACCCGTCTGCGGGGTTCCCACAGGGAGTAAGCTTCCCGTGACTCCCTCTGACCATCGTCAGGTATGTCTCTAGCCTTGCTGCCAGACAGAGTATTGTAAATTCAATTAAGGCAGCTCTAATCGGGTTAAGTCCCATGTTTAATTATTTGATCTCCCTTTTCACCCATTTTAATTTTGTTCTAGTTGTTAATTTTTCCTGCTTTCTTCTGGATTGAGCCTCTTTGGTTTATTTTGTTATTGTTATAGGTCTGTTTGTGTATACATCATAAATAAATTTATCTCCTGATTTGCTTTGGGGTTTTTTTTTCCCTTCTATTTTTCCAGTATACGAAATCCAAGATAAGTAAAACTATAGGGACAGTAGCTGGATTAATGGCTTATTAGGGGTACAGAAGGGTGGAGGGAAATGGGGAGCTAATAATGAGTTCAGAGAAGAACGTGTTCTAAAACTGACTGTAATGATGATTATCCAACTCTTTAATATGACCAAACTATGAAAGTATTTATCAAGTGCATGTCAATAAAACTATTTTCAAAACTAAGGCATATGCAAGACTTCAGGAATATGATTAAGTATAAATTTAAAGAAAAAATATTTGCAAGTCCTAAATTTATTTCTATTTTGTCAACTAACAATATTTTTTCCTCAAATATTGTTAGGTGACAAAAACCCTCCTCAAATTACTAAGTTTCCCTAAGGTGAGGTGAACAGATACAAATTCATACTTTTCTTCTTGAGATGTACCATAAGCAATCCCTCTCAAAGTGATGGCCCTGTAATAGACACTATTTCTCAAAAACATCACCTCCAAAATCTTTACAGGTAGAAAGGTATTTTCAAGGATAGACCACATGATTTCATTAACTTTAAGATGTATGTTTCTCAAAGCTTCCAAATGCAAAACCTGAAATCCAAGAATCTTCAGACTGTATAAGGAAATTTCCAAAAGATCATGTGAAAATAAAAAAGTGGAATTTTCCCCACAAACTTCTGGAAGCTTCCTCAAATGTAAATAGAATCAAGAGGTTCACTCTCCACAAAGACAAATTTAGACTCTTGCTAAAAATGGTTATGACAATAATTATTCTGAGAAATTCTCAATATACTTTATCTTAACAGGGGATAAAGCTAAATAATTGCTAAGCTCTCCAAGTGTCTATGGAAACACAGTAAATGTATATAAGGAGGAAGGTCAAAAAGTATTACTTACTAGGGTTCCAACTCATACATGCACAGGTTTATTACTAACAATAAATGTTTAAACATATGGCCATAATCAGTGGCTGGCTGCAGATAAATTTGTTAAGCTTATTAGGGTGCTTCCAAAACAAAACAAAAAAAAAACGGTAATAAATCAAAACAGTGGCTTCCAAGGTAATCTGCTTGAGCCAGTTCAACTTGAGAGAGAGGTGAGCTCACAAGGTTATGGCAACAGTTCTTTGGAATTCCAAAACTATAATCCTAACAGATTTTCTTAAGAGACAGAATAATCATGAGGCTTATTGGGAAGGTTCGTTTTGGCTTTTTTTAGGGGGGCGGGTGCAAAAAACTAAGAATGCATTGTTGGAAATGGTAACAAGGAAAGGAGTTTTACTCCCCCATCATGACAACACACTTGGCTCATTCTTTGAGAGTAGAAAGGGCTGTCCTGTGATAATTTCATTACAAAATCTTATCATATACTTTTACAGACCAGATTTTACCCCTCCCACACTTCTTTTTGTGCCCAGAACTTAAAGAATACTTAAAACGAACATGCTGCAAGTCCTTGAGGATGCCTAATGTGTCATTTTTGATGTGATATAAATGAAAGAATTCTTTGGAGAAGGGTAGAGACCTAAAGTGTACACGTCAATATGGTGGATGCATACAAAAATAGCTTCACATTTTGATATTTTGTTTAACAATTATTTCTACAATTTTGTAGCAATACCTTTTGACGTAACCATATAAATTCTAGTGTACAATATAGTTAAGTTTTTCTCACTATAATGTGTCTCTTTTCCCACTAAAACAGTCATTGTCAACCAAAGGTGATTCAGCTTCCCTGGACACATTTACTAATGCCTGCATCTACTTTTGATTGGAGGAAAAGCAAACTGGGAATCCTGTTAAACAATAATTAAGACAGTACAAAGCAACAAAAAAATCATCCAATCAAAATGTCAATAAAGCTAAGGTTGAAAAACCTACTTTAAATCTGTTCTTACTGTTGCTTATGACACAATCTTTTCTTAATTTCCACTCATTTCTGTCAAAAACGTGGCAAACAGGCCCACCACCATCGGTGAAAAGACAGGGAAAAATCCCTTGCTGTGTAACACTGGTCAACTATGTCTAAGCCTCTATTTTTTTCCAGCTGTAAAATAGGTGCACTAATAGCCCTTTATTCATATAGTCCTAAGGATAACATGAGGTAAAAATATGAAACACTTAATATTTCCTAGCATAAAATGAAATACGTTTTTAAAAATTAGTTATTTCTCACAAATGAGCTTCACATGATTTTAGAATAGTGTCTTTTCTATTTTTAAAATTTGAAATGCTAACAGGCTTTACAAATGAATTTGCATATTGAAGTCAGTATCTGCACAACTTTTAAAGTACTCTAAAATCCTGTACCTATAAAACATATAAAATTAATAAGAATTTAATCGCCTTAACTAAAATATCATTTCTGGAATCAAACATCTATAATCAAGAGGGGGTGATATTTATAAATCAACGCTTATTTAAAACCACTCATCTTAAATCCAAGACAATGTAAAAGATAAAATTTTTTAATAAATAAAAATTGTTGAATTACAAATGAAAAATCTAATTTCTTTTTAAGACATGCATTTTCAAGAACTGAAAAAAATAGGCCATTCCAACTGTAGGTTACAGAAGCAACCAAATGATATGAGAATAAACCTAACATAATAAATTCACTCAGATCCTAATAAAGAAAATTATAAAAACTGTTAAAATTTGAAAACAAAAAGTAAATCACTGTATCTTTTGAAATAAAAAGTGATCCTCTAAATTACAGCATTTAAATAAATTAAAATTAAATGGTCAAAAACGATTGATAATCAAAAACAACAGTATAAAAATTCTCACAACTATATGTCAACCACGGGTTGATTTTTAAAATAGTGGCCAGGTGAACCAAAATTAAAATTAAAAAATGAAATTCTATGTAATTTATAAAAAATGAATGACCTATAAATAAACTGTTAAGCCTATACTTAGTTAATTAACAACAGATTCGTGTAAAACAACTTTACCAAGTACAAAATGTTCTAAGATGTTAAGATATTTTTATTTTTTATTAACTAAGATAATAAATTATTATATATAATTGTTATATATAATAAAATATAACCGAGTAAATAAAAATACTATAAGTACTTTAAATTTTAAAATCCTTTACATCTTAGGACGAAGGAAGGATGGTGCTGGTGAAGGGAAAGAGAAAAATTACAGGCAAATCCCTACCTGAACCAACTGGAGATGAGCCCACACTAAGACTCTGTAAACTGCCGTTCCTGAGCAAGGGAGGAGATTTCTGAAGGCTACAGCTTGCTACACTTCCTGCTGCTGATGCTATAGAGGATGTTGGTGAAGCAGAAGAAACGGAGAGATGAGAAACATTCTCTTGATTTTTATTTCCTTTGGGTCTACCAGGCCCATGTTTACTTTGCTTATTTCCTTTCCTTTTCTTTTCCTTTACAGTTTCTTCATCTGTGCCAGAAGTTTGAGCCCTTTTATATCCTGCTGTAGGTAGGTTGGAATTGCCCAATTCTCCAGGTGAGTTTTCAAAGCTTTTAGGCTGTGGAATAACAGCTGAGGTCGTAGGGAGACCAATTAAGGAACCAAAACTATTTACACCTCCTCCTTCCTGGCTTCCAGATTCTCCTTTATGTACGTCTTTGGTTGCTGATGACTGCTGAGAATGCGTGTAACTGTCACTGCGCAGATCTGAGTCTGTAAAGCTCAGGAAATCCTGGGGAGACTGTACTGAACTTCCAGAAGATGACTTGACACTGCCTGGAGTTCCTGAAAAACTGCCTGTAGAGGGGTGGGAGGAAAAGTAAAAATGGATATAAAAGTTACCACAAATAGACATGATACTATCATAAAAAAAAAAAAAACCAAAACCGGAGGTGAGAATATAAATAAAATGTAAAAATGAGAATATAACATTATGCAACAAAGCTGTATTTAAAAAGATTATAAAAACAAAATTTATAATATCTAAAGAAAGTCAGTTTAAAGTTTATAGCTATTTAACCCTAAATTACAATTATTTATACAATTACAATCTAAACTGCACTTTATCGAACTTACCTTTGACTATTTCTCAATTCTCCCTAAGCCCCTTTTATATACTGGAAGAAGTACTAATGAAAGTAAGGTCTCCTTTTGACAGTCTTGCAGGGAGACCTGCTAAGACTATACTTTGACTCTGGGTGGCTTGAAAAACGCCTTCTTTTCAAGTACTGAATATATTACTAATGTCACACACATAAGAAATCACCAAGAATTTTTCTTCCAAAACAAAACTTACTGCCATCAAGTTAATTCTATCTCATAACGACTTTACGGGACAGAGTAAACTATCCCTGTGGATTTCCAACACTGTAAATCTTCATAGGCGTAGAAAGTCTCATTTTTCTCCTGTGGAGCAGCATGGCAGTTCTCAACTACCTACCTTGTGGTTAGTTGCCCTATACATAACCTATGCCACAAGGGCTCCAAAATGTTTCTTAAAGTACATGATTTAACTCCAAGATATATACACAAATATTACTGCTTACATCAGTGGTTCTCAACCTGTGGGTCGCGACCCCTTTAGAGTTTGAACGACCCTTTCACAGGGGTCACCCAATTCATAACAGTAACAAAATTACAGTTATTACATAGCAAAGAAAATAATTTATGTTTTTTTGGGGGGGCGGGGGGGGGGATTCACCACAACACGAGGAACTGTATTAAATGATCACTGCATTAGGAAGGTTGATAACCACTGGCTTAGATGAATCTGTCCCATCAAAACAATGATTTGACAAAATACAATCATATCTCAAAAGTATCACAGGCGTGGTTTCAGGCTGTTAAAATAAAACTAATAAAGCAAGCCCCATGAAATTTGTGTTGCGTAGTGCATATAAAAACTATATTAATACTATACTATAGTCAATTAAGTGTGCAATAGAAGTTTGAAAAACTGTTAAGAATAACCAAAATGTGAGCCAAAGTCACAAAGTGAACACAAGCTATTGGAAAAAATGTTACCAACTGACTTGTCTAACACAAAGCTGCCACAAACGTCAATATGTAAAAGAAAAAAATATCTGTGAAGCCCAGTAAAATGATACATGCTTCAAATAATGATCACATGAAACCCATGTCCTAGTTCTGCTTTCCCAGAACTAAGAAAAGCAACCCACCACTATCATTCCACTGTTGTTTTATGAAAATTACAAGAAAGGTTAACTTTCATAAATCTCTTAAAACTTCATTCTCTTTCTATTCTACAGCTAAAGAACATTAATTGCCCACCATGTCAGGATCAGCTTTAAGAACTTCAAGCTTCTTTTTTGCCTGGTAAGATATTAATAATATATCTGAAACAAAACAATAGCTTTATCTACCATCATATTTTGTCAAACCTTCATTGTTGCCAAATAAAGTAACGAGTTAAGACTCAGTTATAAGAAAGAAAAAAAAAAAAAGACTCAGTTATAAGCACACACATATCACGTTTCATAAACTAAACTACATATTTTGCTATGTTTGAAAATAAAATCGCTAAGTATTTTATTAAAGTGGAGAGAAAAATAAAGCTGTTAAATTTTACTGAAGAACACATTTACAAGTAATCAGAAAGCAATCTGAATATGTATAATATTTTTTGTCACACATAAGGGAAAGAAAGAAAAAAAACTAACAAATGCCTAAGGGTTATTTTAAGCAATCTCTTCTTATTAAAAGAACACTAGTAACTCTAAAATTTAAATGTTTTAGGAGTATATTTTCTCCATTAACATACAAAATTACTTCTAATTTTTTATAAAGTTTAAAAGATTTTCTATTATGATAGATTCTATTTCTATTATTGATAGATTCATCAATGTTGTAATTTTTTAAAATATGAAAGATTAGTTTTCTAAATGAATTATTACTTCATGTTGCTACTGGGTTCCACAGAGTCAATTCTGACTCATAATGCCCCTGTAAGAAAGAGAAATGGCGCCTCAGGGTTTCCAAAGTTGTAATATTTACAGAAGTAGACTCCCTTACTTTCTACTGGAGCAGCTGGTAGATTTGAACCTTTTGTTTAATATCCAAGCACTTGAACCACGGTACTACCACTTGATTACTGTACCTCGAGTGTTCTTAGTCTTTATAACCAACCCACCCACCAATTCTGACTCAGCGTGTCTCTATGGAACAGAACAGTAACGCTCCCTATGGCTTCTAGGTAGAGAACGTTTTTTCTTGTGCAGGGCAGGTAGTGGGTTTAAACCATGGAGCAAATGGTTAGCGGCCCAATGCTTCAACTACTTCAACCATCAGGGATCCTTTAGCACTTTACAGATAAATTTTAAAAATCCAAAAATTCCATTTTAATAGTGGAAAATAGGGTTAGTTATAAAGAATTCCCCAATATTACATTTGAAATGTGAATTTACATTAAAAATTAAGCTTTTATTACTAACTTACTTTTTTTAATGCAACAGCAATTTTTAGCAAAATGAAGCAGCAAATTTGACATTTTGTTTAAATTTATGGAATTGAAGGTAGGATTTTTACAAGGACTTGATGGAGACCCCAAACTCACAGAGGGTGCAGTATAGCACTGAGTACATAAATATCCTCTGGTTCTTTAAATGATGGGGCTAGCAATTATATAATTATGCTTGTTCTAACTGAATTATCTAATAACCTTACAGATTGTTATAATATCTTTAAGAGCTCCCCAAAAAAGGACTTGAAAATGTTCAAGGTCAAATGACTGCTTGTCAGTAAATATGAACATACTTTCAAAAAAGTCATCAAACTATGTAATCTCTTTACACCATCAAAATAAAACTTATTAGATATGAGGTGCACAATTTTTATTAACAAAATGTAGAACAGAGTTAAAGAAACAATGTATTTCTCATTTGCTCCCAAGGAAAAAAAAAAGAGAAAAAATATTTTTGTGTGCTCTAACAATTTTATTTATATGTATGTACCTCAAGTATTTAAAAAAATTATATGAAGTAAAAACTAAGAATATATGACTAATGTATTTTAAAGTTTAGCTGAGTTAGTCTGTTTTCCATAAAACAGAGTTGTCATATTAAAAAATAGCATGTGACTGTCTCACTCTCACTCACTGCCTCCCTCACTCACTGTCTCACCCACTCACTGTCTCGCTCACTCACTGCCTCACTCACTGATTCACTCACTCACTGTTTCACTCTGTCTCACTCCCTCACTGTTCTCACTCACTCATTGACTCACTCTCCCACTGACTCACTCTCCCACTGTTCTCGCTCACTCACTGTCTCACTCTCACTCACTGCCTCACTGACTCACTTTCTCACTCACTCACTGTCTCACTCTCACTCATTGCCTCACTCGCTCACTTTCTCACTCACTCACTGTCTCACTCTCACTCACTGCCTCACTGACTCACTTTCTCACTCACTCACTTTCTCGCTCACTCACTGTCTTGCTCTCATTCACTCACTCACTGACTGTCTCACTTGCTCACTGCCTCACTCACTCACTCACTCATTGTCTCACTCTCACTGCCTCACTCGCTCACTCACTCACTGTTTCACTCTCACTCACTGTCTCACTCTCATTCACTGTGTCACACTCCCACTGCCCTCACTCACTCACTGTTCTCTCACTCTCACTCACTCACTGCCTCACTGTCTCTCTCTCACTGCCTCTCACTCACTTTCTCACTCTCACTCACTGCCTCACTTTCTCACTCTCATTCACTGTGTCACACTCCCACTGCCCTCACTCACTCACTGTTCTCTCACTCTCACTCACTCACTGCCTCACTGTCTCACTCTCTCACTGCCTCACTCACTGATTCACTTGCTCACTGCCTCACTCTCATTCACTGTCTCACTCACTCTCTCACTGCCTTACTCACTCACTGTCTCACTCTCACTCACTGCTTCACTTGCTCACTGTCTCACTCTCACTCACTGCCTCCCGCACTCACTCATTGACTCACTCACTGACTGTCCCACCGCCTCACTCACTGTCTCACTGTCTTGCTCACTTGCTGTCTCACTCTCACTCACTGCCTCACTCACTGATTCCCTCACTGTCTCACATCCTCACTGTCTCACTCCCTCACCGTCTCACTCTCACTCACTGCTTCCCTTGCTCACTGTCTCGCTCTCACTCACTCATTGACTCACACACTCACTGTTTCACTCTCACTGTCCCAGTCACTCACTGTCTCATTCCCAGTCACTCACTGTCTCACACACTCATGGCCTCACTCACTGTCTCATTCACTGACTTACTATCTCACTCTCTCACTGTCTCACTCACTCGCTGTCTCTCTCTCTCACTGACTGACTCACTCACTGCTTCCCTTGCTCACTGCCTCACTCAATCTCTCACTGTCTCACTCACTCATTGACTCACACACTCGCTGCCTCACTCACTCACTGATTCACTCTGTCTCACTCCCTCACTGTCTCATTCACTCACTTTCTCACTGTCTCACTCTCTCACTGTCTCACAAAAAAAAAGAAAAAATAGCATGTATAATTCTTTCAGATTTCAGTAAAACAAATTATTTTTCAGTGTTAAGTATGTCCATGAAATATTTAGGGTATACTCTCTAACCAAACTCACTGCCATGTAGTCGATGCTGACTCACTGCCAATCCCCAAAGCCCATTCTTTCTCAAGGAGCAGCTGGTGGTTTCAAAGAGCCAACCATGCGGATCTCAGCCCAACATGTAGCCACCGCACCACTAGAGCTCCTATTTAGGGCTTAGATTATTGTTTATCTGAAATTCAAATTTAATTAGGCATCTGTATTTTACCTAAACCCAGTAGCCTAACAATAAAATATGTATGTAGGCCTAGCTAAACTAATTTAAAATGTATAATAAATATATTACTAATCAACAACTATTAGTTACCAAGTAAGACCTATGTAGATCTCCTCAGTGCTATGACGAGGACCTTGCTTGTACCCTTTGGCTACTAAAATGATAAACCTTAAGTGTTTTGACAGATAGGAACTGGAAACACAGGGAATCCAGGATAGATGATCCCTTCAGGACCAGTGGTGTGAGCGGCAATACTGGGAGGGTGGAGGGAGGGCGGGTTGGAAAGGGGGGACGGATTACAAGGATCTACATGTGACTTCCTCCCTGGGAGGTGGACAACAGAAAAGTGAGTGAAGGGAGACGTCGGTCGGACAGAGCAAGATATGACAAAATAATTTATAAACTATCAAGGGTTCATTGGGGTGGGGGGACTGATGCCAGGGGCTTAGGTGGAGATCGAATGCTTTGAGAATGATGAGGGCAATGAATGTACAAATGTGCTTTACACAACTGATGTATGTATGGATTGTGATGAGTTGTATGAACCCCTAATAAAATGATTTTTTCAAAGTGCTTTAATTAATATTTGAAAAGGCATATAAATGTAATTAATAGAAAAGAATGACTGGTTCTATAAAGTAAGAGAAAAACTCCAGCTTTCATTGTTCTTCCCAATCTTAAATGTCATTCACATCTATTTAAATATTTGAAGTACAGTTCAACTTTGGGTGCACATAGCAGACCATTCCAAAAAAAAAGGGTCCTAGAAATATTTTAACAAAATATATTACTCTTTGAATATTACTATTTCATAATCACAAATGTAAGACAACTTCTTTTCTAAAACTTAATTAACCATCATAAGTAAAGTATTTTAGCTATTACGTAATACCTTGCTGAAAAGGACTAGCTGCTGAAACAGTTGTTGCTGGATTTCTTCCACCACCGGGCTTTCTTCCCCTTGGACCTGAGCTGTGAGCTGAAGATTTCTTCCCTTTGCCCTCTGTCCCTCTAGCCTCTGAAACATCTTTTCCACTAGTGGTATGAGCAGACACTTCCTGGAAATTTGCATTTGTAAATCGTGCTGAAGTATCTTCCAAGCGCTTCAATGATCCTGATATAGAGTTACTGCTAGTGCTTGTGTAAGTCTAACATTGAGATCCAGAAAAGGAAATAAAAGGAGAAAAAACTAATTATATTGTGGCCACAGAAAAAAAAAGACAAATTAACAAATAATTTTTAGGACTTTGTAAGATATCTTAAAAGTACAGTTGTAAAAACAAGTCAAACTACCTAAGAAAATCATACAAATAATTATTTTAAGCTCTTAGTATAACTACTTTCCTGTTTTAAAAAGAAAGATGTAGATAAAACTTTAGAGTATGGTTCGTTGCATATCAAACTATAGTGATTAGGAAAAGTAACTGTCATATTATGTGGATCAACGGTTAGAAAATAGTTACCAATTTATCAAACAACATCATTTCCATTACAACATACCATACTATTTCCTAGACAAGAGATTAAAATCAACTTTAATGTTCAACACAGACAGGCAACCATTTAAAATAATCTACTGGCTAGTTTAGGACACAACAAGAATTTTTAAAGAATTCAAATGAGGGCTGCATTTTAAAACTAGATGGAGTAAGGCCTTATATCTTTTAAGTATAAAGAAGGAGCCCTGGTGGTATAGTAGTATCATGTTGAAAATTATTTTCTATTTCTAGTATTTTAAGTGGGCTATTTTAAGTGTTTTTATCATTTCTGAGATTTTTTTTCTATTAATTAAAACCATAATGTGAGTTTTGCCAGTGTTTTCTTGTATAGTTAAGCTTATATGGATCCCTGATGGTTTAGCGGTTAGGTATTGAGCTGAAATCTGCATGGTTGGTAGTTCAAAACTATCATCAGCTACTTTTGTAAACAGTTACAGTCTTGGAAACCTACAGGGGAGTCAGCTTTGACTCAGTGGCAGAGTCTGTTTTGGTTTAGAAACATGGAGATAGAAGTATTTATCTGTAGTTAAGATTTATAAATTTATAAATTTATAAAAATTAAACATTATTATGTCAAAATGGATTCATCTTGTTGATCTAGATGTAAAACAGCAATGCAATTTGTTAAATGATTAGCTTGTAGCGTTTAACAATCATTTTAAAGCATGTCCAAATAGTGTTAAATTATTGTGAAAATGTATTATATACCAAACCCTCCAAACGGACTATCATCAAGTCAATTCTGTTTCTTACTGACCCTGTAGGGCAGGGCAGAACTGCCACTGTGAGTTTCCAAGAGTATAACTCTATGGGAATAGAAAGTATCGTCTTTCTCCTGAGGAGCAGCTGATAGTTTCAAACTGCTGGTATTGCAGGTAGCAGCTTAACATGTAAGAACTAGTCCACATGGGTTCCTTGTAAAATACCTGGAAGGTTATTTATTAATCAGCATGCTTCATGGATGTTTATAAAACTCAAGAATGTTGTGAGAGGACTTCTGGCAAGACGGCACCCAGGTAAGCAGCTTGTATCAAGAACTCCGTGGGGATTAGTAAACTCACTAATTAGGAGACCTAGTGGGGAATCCAGAATACTCCCTAGGCCGGGCAGGTAACCTTCTCCCCTAGGTCTGGGGGGCCGGGGGAGAAGAACCTCTAGGCTATGCCTGAAGTTGGCCTCACTTTCACAAGCAGCCCTCTTCTCCCCATGAGGCGCACTGCACTGCTGCCACACCTCATACCCTCCCTGCCACCAACCCACAGGCCCAGGGGACACAGCTAGACCCCATCCACAGTATGCGCAGGCTAAGTGTTAGGTCAGGTACTGGTCAGGGAACATTAGAAAATACCTGACTGCCCCTATCAGACCAAGACAACTAACTTCAAAAGGCAGTAAATCAATGAGCCATCTGCCTAGGCACCAGGCGGAATGATCCAGGAACCACCCAACCTCAGAATTTTTATGGAGGCGGCGTACAGCCCCACAGCTGCAACTCCTACCTTCTTACCCCACCTACAGCTTCTACCCACTCCCTTTATTGTTTGAGCCTCCCCCTCCTGACCAGATTAAAACTTGCTCTCCTCTCCACCACAGATTAAGTGCGACTTCTCGGATCCCCCATCAGGGGCCATGGAGTTCGCCAAGGAGTTCAGGACTCCCGTATCTCTCACTTTCCCTCCTCTCTTCTCCCTCCCTAGCATAGCAGCATGGATTCTCTGACTCCCTGCTGGAGTCTGTGAATCTCACCCAGGAGGTGCAGAAAATAAACTCTGGCCTGGCCTCAGTTTGTCTTTGCAGAGAACTTAATAGTAAGCCACGCAGTCAACGGACCCACACACACCACCAGCCCACATCCATACCTGATGCGGTTGGAACCCACTACCACGGAGTCAGCCCCAAGTAGCTCATGCACCTCTACCTAGGTTTCACTTACCTACCAACTGTGACCCATGGGAATACGTCAATAGCTACAAAGAGTCCAAATGCAACCCTTTAAGCCTGAGGCTGGATCCTTCCTCAATGAGTGACCGCAGCTCTTCGAAACCAGAGACAGAAACCATCTGCCATCCTCTGCAGATTATCCCACATGGTTGACCTATACCAGGCTAGTGGTTTTTCTGCCCGGCCACCTCCAGCCCCAAAGTTTTCAAGCACAGCAGCTGTGACCCTGCTACTTCTCCGCCAGGTCACTTCCACCCCGTGATAGCAAAGCTTCTCTGCTGGCCAGGACTCAACACCAGGGCTTTTCCTGTGGCACCACAGCGGCTCTGTGGACCAGACCACTACCGACCCCAGGGATTACCCACGGTATCTCTAAGAACCCAAGACTTCTAGCCTAGATTCACGGCCCCTCCACAGCAGAAACTGTCCCAGTGGTGTCCCAGCCAGCCAGATCAGCCCAGTAGACACATTGTAGGCACGCCTAGCCTGGTCCAGAATCACCCAGTCACTGGCCTAGCCTGGTCCAGAATCACCCAGTCAAACTGCTCCTGCACCTCCCTTACATAGTAGCCCAATACCCAAACACAGTAGACCATAGGCAGGCCCCACAGAGAGAAAGCTAAGGGCCCACATGTATTTCAGGAATATGGCATCAAGTGCCACCAAAACAACATGCAAACAGCAACATACCTCAACTCCCTCTACAAGAAAACAAGAGAAAGTAAAATTCCACAGGTAGTCCTAAACCTCATGACACTCATCGAAGAAGCAGACAATGATCTGCCACAAAAGGAAATCCTCAGAATGTTTCTTGGAGTGGTACAGGATGTGAGGGAGGCAATAAAGAAAAAAGGATACAACGATTTAGGAGATGAAGCCCATGATCAATGGGATGAAAGTCCATGCACCAAAGGGAAAATACAAGAGTTAAGAGGGGAAGTAACAGAAGCAAAAGAACAACATAGGTGACCTCACTAACAGACTTGCAAACAGAGAATTGTACCAGTGATTTCGAGGGAAACCACGCAGACTTCAACAAATGGGAAATACAATCAAACAAGACCATAAAAGAGGCAAAGGAAAACCTGAGATCTATGACAGATGCTATGAAGAACAATATTGGAATACCATATATACTGGAGTATAGGCCGTCCAGAATATCAGCCAAGGCACCTAATTTTACCACAAAAACTGCATTAAAAATGTGCTGGAAAACGGCTTATGCACAAGTATATATGGTAATAGGCACCTAATTTTTACCACAAAAACGGCATGAAAAACGTGCTAGAAAACGGCTTATGCACAAGTATATATGGTAATAAGAATGCGAGAACAAGACACAATGAAAAAGTCAACAGCTAAAGTCGCAAAGGAATTTCTGAACGAAAACGTTCCCACCTTAATGAATGAGAATCAATCATACGGGAAGCAGAAAGGACAACGATTAGACAAAACCCCAAGAAGAATCGCCAATCACATAATACTTAGATTATCCAACTTTGAGGAAAAGGAAAGCCTCTTAAGAACAGCTAGAAGGGGTGGGAAAGGCAGTCACATACACTTAACTCAGGTAAGAATATGCTCACACCTATGTGCAGATAGCATGAAGAGGAGGAGAGATTGGAATAAAATCTTCTGAAAGTTGACAGAGAACAATTCAAGAATCCTCTAACCCTCCAAACTGTCTATCAAGATAGACAAAGAGGTAGGAGTATTCCCAGACAAGGAAAAACTCAAAGAGTGCGTTATACAACACCAAACACTGCAAAAAAATCCTTGCAGACTCACTGTGGTTAGATCATCAACATTCACCAAATACAAATAGGAGACCACTACATAGCACAACCCCACCTGTAAGTCAATGTGCCAAAAACAACCACCAAGAAAACATTACCTCAACTGCAAAAAGGCAAGAATGAAGCCCTCCTTAACCACCACCCACCCCACACACATATACTCACAATGTTATGTGAGGAGATAAGAAAACACCCAACAAAAGGTATGGGATGACAACAATGAAAGCACAGTTGGTGGTAAGAACTCTTAGAGTCAATGGTCTGAATTCGTCCATTAAAAGACAAAGGCTTAATAGCCTTCCCTGCAATCCTGGGACATCCGCCTTAAACTTGACGAAACATGTCAGTGGTATTTGAAATTAACAAAATTAAAATAAATGTCTACAATGAAAAAAAAAAAAAAAAGACAAAGGCTTGCAGACTGGCTCCGAAAACATAACCCAAAAATATGCTGTCTGCAAGAGCCATACCTTCAGTTCAAAGACAAAAATAGGCAAGGAAAAAAGGGCTGGTGAAAAATATACCAAGAGGGTGGCAACCAAAAACAAAGCAAGGGTTGCAATCCTAATGTCGGGCAAAATCTATTTTAAGAGGCAAATCATAACAAGAGATAAGGATGGTCATTATATAATGGTAAAAGGACTGGTAGATCCAGAACCAGTGAGCATAATAAATATATACGTGCCTAATGAGATGTTTGAAATTTGACAAATTCTTTGAAAAATGGAAACAGAAATCACAGACTCAGCAATCATAGAAGGTGGCTTTAATACAAAACTATCAGAGAAAGATAGATCACCAGAAAAGAAACTCAATAAGGAAGCTACAGAGCTAAACACCACAATTAGGCAATCTGACCTGATAGGACATTTATAGAGCTATTCACCCAGATGCAAAAAAAAGACTACATGC